CCAGAACGATTGCGTAGATAATGACAGTCACGTGTTGTCGGTGGTGTCGGCAGTTTTGGCATCAGACCCTCACGTATTGTCGATGTGGGGCAAGTGCGGCTGTCCACCGGCACCCGAACTGTCACACTGCAGCATCAAGTCTACAGTTGCAGTGCGCGGACACGGTCTAACAACCCAACGATGGCGAAGGTCGTCATTGAAGCTCGGGTGCGGCGGGCCACGCGAGTGACTATCGGAAGGCGAAGTTCGCCGGGATCCAAACTTCAGCGGGGCTCGATTTGGAAAGAGACGGCGTCAGAGACATACGACCCGTGAGTCGGTGGTTGTTGTACTGAACGAAAACCAGGGATTTTCACGACGAGTGCGCGGCATATCGTCAACTAGCAACTGCAGCCTCTCACACCTGTCAACACTACTTCACATCTGCCATTTTCGGCAGCGCACAAGCGTCTCACACTTTCTCACTTAAGCTCGAGGTCTAATTGCCCATCTAGACCCGGTGACATTCGAGGGTCCCCGGGGACGTGGTCGTGAACCGAAACCATACAACGCATTCATTGATGATCCGTACACGCGGATCTGCGGTTCGTCGAGTGATGCGCTCTCCGAAAAGACGGACATGTATTTCATCCTGACGAAAACTCCCGGTCGTGCTAAGGAATTTCCTATACAGTCCCGTATGTCAGACACTTTCTCTTCCACCTCATGCCACAAAGAAAAGTTTTGGACCTTCCCTGCGATCACCAAATCGGGCCACCGATCCACACGTTCAGGCCCTCGCGCCGGCACAAATTTGGACCCCTCGATTACCACCTCGTTGCGTGACACAAGCACAACTGCATCGACGAGTTTCCTACTCTTATTCGAGGTGGCGACACATAGAACCCTGGCGAGATCAGATCCGGACACAGTCAACCGCACACAATAGTACGACACAGCTTGTGGAGAATTCCCGGGGCAACGGAGCGGGTACTGCTCCAGGAACGGGCAGTGACGAGCGCAGTCCACCAACTCTTGTTTCTGCGAGCCTCCCCAAGTTTGTGGCGACGACCTGACGTAGTGGCACTCGAGGCGACTGAAATAGCGGCTAATGCAGGGCAGTGCTCTCCGCATAAGGTTCAGGAACTTGTGGTCAAGGACAGCGTCAGGCATCAAGATGAGGTTCCCGAACTCCAACAAGTTGGCGAACTTGTACTGGCTTGCCCAAGGGCAGCGCCTCTCCATGGTGGCCCAATTCCCATCGCACCAACCGTCAATATGCTCGTCCATGCACGGGACGACGGTCATCCAGGGGTCCTCGTCGAAGTCCTCTGTGGTCGCTCCGTGGATCGTAGTTATACCGTTAAAATACCGCACTGATCTCGCACAAGGAGGAAAGAGTTCCGCCAATCGAATGTGCATCTCGGGACTCATGGTCCGTGGTGTCGGGAACATCGACTCCATTATCCGTGGTGTCGAAAAGGTCGCCTCCATTACGCACCCTACAGACCACGCGCACATACCGGATGATACACACGTGGCCACAGCCACACGTAGACGTCAAGTCCCGAACTGAAAATACACGAGGTTCCACATGCCTGCACGCACTCCCCACGCACAGGGTAAGCAGGCGAAGTGTGAATGCACAGCAAGGAAACACCCCGATCATTGAAGTCCGGAAACCGGCTGACTTCTGTAGTCGACCAACGGCGCAGGACCGAGCACTTCGGCTGCAGAGTTTTTGTCCTCAGAAGTCAGCCCGCATCCGAACTTCAGTGACCTCCCTATTCCTCATCTGAACGTCGCCGCCTGCCCTGCTCTGCTCCCAAGCATAAAACACGCGAAGTTTAAGTTCGGATTCGGGCGGACTTCATCGCTAAGCACCCGCATCCAGTGCTCGAGCAATGGATAGAGAGCACGACAGTCATTGAAGTTCGGTTTAGGGTGGACTTCATCAGTAAGCACCCGCAGCCAGTGCTCGAGCATTGGAAACAGTGCAGGCCAACCAATAAAGATCGGATGCGGGCGGACTTCTCCAGTTGCCTCTGCTAGCGGCGTGCGAACATTGGATGAAGGGTAAGTCGAACGCGAAAGTTCGGATGCGGGCGGAGTTCTTCGGTCGTCCGCCCTCAGTCGGTGCTCGAGCATTGGATAGAGAGCACGACGGTCATTGAAGTCCGGATTAGGGAGGACTTCATCAGTAAGCACCCGCAGCCGGTGCTCGAGCATAGGAAACAGTGCAGACCAACCACTGAAGATCGGATGCGGGCAGACTTCTCCAGTTGCCTCCGCTGGCGGTGCGCGAACAACGAATGAAGGGTAAGCCGAACGCAAAAGTTCGGATGCGGGCGGACTTCTTCGGTCGTCCACCTCAGAGAAAACATGAAGTTTGGATTCCGGCGAACTTCTTCTTCCACCCGTTCTGTGCTGGTCGTGGAGTACCCAGGTTCCATGTCGAACTAGGTTCGTTCGATTTCGAACAAGGTTCGATGTCGAACAAGGTTCGATGTCGACCAAGGTTCGATGTCGACCAGGGTTGGTTCGATATGCAACAAGGCTCAGTGCGAACAAGGTTCAGTGCCGAACAAAAGTTCATCTACAAAGAGATCGATGAGGATTTGGCATGGATGCGCGATCGTGTTCTGGATGACGTCGTGTTTTCGATGTCGAGTGCCGTGGTCTCCGGCGATGTGGTGGCGTGTATGTGCACACACTAAGGGACAAACACACACGATGAAGAGACAGGCTGTTTGCTTCTTTCGACGTTGTGTTGCTGTCGTCGGTTGGTGGTTTCGTACGGCTATTCTCGTTTGGTCGAAAAGTCACGGATGGTGATGATGCGAAACTGGTTGTGTGTGCCGCTTCACTCACGTTTAGATCTATCGAACGATTGTCGAGCTCACCGTTCTCGATAACGAACTTGATAGACTGGTGCGTGCCGCTTCGCTCACGTATAGATCTGAGATGATGACCGGCTATCCACTACCTAGGTTATCTATACATGCACGTGTATGATCAGCGCAAACGAAGCGGCATGCACCCGTCGAGCAAGTTCAATATCGGGAACGGTGAGCTCGTCAATCGACCGATAAATCGCTTGGTTGTCACACACCACCTATTTTCGCATCATCACCATTCGCTGGTTCTCGACCAAACAAGTCATGCCCCATACCAAACATGAATAGCCGTGCGCAATCAGTCAACCGAACAACTCGCAATAATCTGCTCGATAATCGGTCGATTGTTCAGTGGAAGGGTGCGTTGTTCGGTGGATTGATTGCTTGTATGAGTCGACTGTCCATCATTTTGGACCCTATCAACTAAACGGACAACCACTTGCGTGATACTCGCGGCCGGTATAGCGTCGTGAAGCGTGCAAGGGTGGATCGTTCGATCCACCGGTTGCATGGGATGGTTGGCTATGGATTCCATCAATGATTCCCTGGAGGAACCGCGTGCGTTCAGCGCTGTCTGCCCACACCCGATTTGAGGCATCTACATACGCTCACACGACTACGCACATTGCAGGAACAAAACAATAAGCATATACCAGCTGGGTGACTCCTGACACAAGCGAGCAAGCGTGCATGCACACACAAGGAATCAAATGCAGAAGACCGCTCGAACGTGCGCAGATCATGCGTACACACACAACGAATCCCACTTGCACGAATCCCTCTACAACGAATCCGTCTTACACGAAACGTTTTGAGTTTTCACAGACGAGACGTTTTCATACATACACACACGAAATGTTTGCATTCACATGAAACGGATCGACTTCCAAACATTCATACGAAACGTGCGCAGTCACACATACGAATCCCTCTACAACGAATCCCTCTTACACAGAAGCCTGTACAACGAATCCATCTGACACGAATCCCTGTACACGATGAAGATGTCGTCACACACACGGAACGTCTGCCCACACGAAACGTGTACTCACCCCGATGAAGATGTCGTCTGGAGAATGGATCGTTCGCACGAAAATCGCGATTACGTTCGCGACTGCGCGTGGGTTCGCTGTTCAAACCGCGGTGGACAAAGCGTGGAAGATGACGCGGGGCTGCGCATAAAGCGGGGCTGCACAGAAAGTGGCGCGGGAGGTGATCACCGTGGCGTTGGCGAGCGCGCGTGGGTTCGCTGTTCAAACAACAGAGGACAAGGCGCAGCGCTGAACAATGCGATGGCGCCAATCACCGTGCCGCAGCGTTGGGGATGGACGACGTGGCGCTGCGCTGGGGATGGACGACGTGGCGCTGCGCTGGGGTGGACGACGTGGCGCAGCGCTGGGGATAGACGACGCGGCGCAGCGCTGGGGTGGACGACGTGGCGCAGCGCTGGGGATGGATGACGTGGCGCAACGCTGGGGATGGTGTTCGCGAGAGCGGGAGTGCAGGTGTGCAGTCCGACAGCATCTCCCTAACGACACGCGAGTGTGCGAAATGAATAGTGGGGGGCCGGTTTCGATTTTCAGGCGCGCAACAGGCCTTCCACGCGGAAGGAAAGGCCTTTTTCAAAATCGAAATCGTGGCACCTGGTGGGGGGCGAGAACTTTTCACCCATTCGACCTAGAGGAAAAAGCGCGAGAGTCCGAGCACCGTTGGATTTGTCCAATCGACGACCACGGTCCGTGTGCGCGTAGGGCCTGCATGCGTCACGACTCGTGTGAGGGACGTTGCTGACAATCGGAAGCAAGCCTTTCCGGACGACACCAGGCGAGGGGGGGGGGGGGGGGTTGGAGGGGTGGCATTTTCGCTGACGGGCAGGAGGACCATTGGACCGGGAACCAAACGGGACAGCAATGGAAGCCCTGGGCGGGCCGTCCGATTTGCGCATCGCAATGCCATTTCGCGGCGGGGTGGGACGGTACCATGAGGCGGAACGTCACACCGGAGACCGACGAGCAGGCAGCTGCGAGAAAGCTCCCGCACAAGTGGACAGCCCGGTTCACCGTCCCATTCCCTGCATTCAGTCCTGCTTGATGACAGCTCCGCTGCGCTGCGCCATCCTCGTCATTCACCCCAAGCTGCGCCGCGCCGTCCTGGTCCTCGACGAACGATCTCCAAGGTACGTCGGCTTGCGTTCGGCGGCAACGTGAAGTCCGCAAACTGTCCCGCCCCTCCACTCCCTGCCCCGTTCCCTGCGTGTGCCAAAGAAGACAGGGGGAGAGAGACAGCGAGAGAGCGAATCGGAGACAAAGAGCG